GTATTTCATAGGCTGTAGCCGCTGTGGGTTAGAGCCCTTCCTTCTTGGATGTTTGAAAAGGGCTGAAAACCCCTGTGACTTCTAATGAAATAAATAAATAGGACGCTCAACATTGCCCAGTGACTTTAAGATTGTGTTAAAACAGATGGCTCATGCCAACAGACACAAGTGACATTTGGAAACTGGTGTCTCTTCTCAGGTGACAGTCCATCTTTTTTCTTTTATGAGATGGCAGCATCCTTGGAATGCTCCCAGAGTTTTCACTCTGATTGAAAATGCTCTTTATCATAAAAGTATGAGGTTTACTATTTGGCGAGGCTTGCCTAGAAGCTCATAGGAAATATTTCCTCCCTGAAGTGAACGGTCTCGAGCTGCAGTACCTCTTCTGAAGACCATTTGGAAAAATGGTTTTCCATTTGCAGACATTTTCTTGGGGAGAAAAAAAGAGGAGAAATTGAAGCCAGTGTTAGTTTTCTCTGTGCACTTGTACAGATGATAAAATGGATGTGATAGCTTCATTAGAATGACAAGCATTTCTGATTCAAATGTACTGAATTCTGCTTTATTTGGTTGATGATCCTTCCTTTGCAAGATATTCTGGATCTCAGTGTCCTCAGGCATTTCCGCATGGATTAACTGATACTGAGGAGGCTCTTTTATGTATGCTACTTAAGCACAATATGTTTACCTTCCCATGTTTTTTCTTGCTGACTGCTTATCATTCAGTAGGCATTTATTTCTGATACTGTATAGGAGTTAATGTTCTCTGTTTATATTCAGATTTCCCTGTGTCCTATTACAATATACCTATTCAAGGGTAGAGCAGTGAATCTTCCTCTATTCCTTATTAAGTTTTCTGTTTCTTTTTCAAGAACATGTTGCCAAAGAAAGCTTGGTTTGGTTCGGGGCCAGGTAACTGTCTAATTACTGAAGGTAGTGGAGCAAGTATAACTGAGGGCAGAATTGGATCCATTATGTTTTCCTTTAAGTTTAGAAATCTGAATGAGATTTGAACACAACAGGTTTGATTTAAAGGATTTAAGCAGTGTGACTGCCAATAAAATCCACTGCAAGGCTGTTCCATAGTGCAGTTAGTTGTAGCATTGCCAAGCTTTTTCAGACATTCACCCCACATTTTCTGTTGGACTGTTTTCTGTTACCTGGTTCTGCCCTTACCCACTGTAACCGTTCTGCCTCATCCTTATCATTTACACGTGAATAATTATTGCCACTTAGGCTTCACATGCTTGATCTTCCTTGTTTTAGCATATATTGTGACATGTTACTAGTCATAACGCTTGTCTAAATAGTCTTCTGTATACAGACACATTTCTGATGCTACGTAGTCAAAAACTCGAGTTGTGAGACTGGGTGCAGTGTCACTGATCCTATTAAGATCCTTGATATTGTCAATAGTTAAGTGAGTTAAGCATAACTGGTGTCCATTAAATCTGCAGGACTGCCTGTGTGGCTAGGGTTAGTTATGGATACATGCATTGGTACTTTTGATGCCAGGCACTTTTACCTCTTTCATCAGTGACTTGATAGTAAAATGTCCTGCCAACCAACTACATTTTTTCCAACCACCTTTTTTGGTGCAGTTGCATACAGATGCATCATTGTTCTCTGCATCTTGTCTTCTTTTCAGGATGATGGATTTCTAGGCATCTTCTTTCCAACTCAGCTCTGTGTTTGGGATTTTTCTTTGCTTGAATGATTAGCTACCTACCTGGAATTATTATTTGTGTGTTCTCATTTGATTTCTGTCCCATTTACCTGGTTCATGACAGCTCCTAGAGAACCATCTGTTCTTTAAACCCTGTGTTGTTGACTTCTTCAGATTATTAAGGATTGTATGAAACCAGTGTGGCAGCCTCCAGACTACTTCTGTGCAGTTCAGCTTTCAAATTCAAAGAAACTCTGATCTTCTAGTCTTGTCCTCAGTTTATTTCTATCTGTGCTTTCTGCAGATTAGTTTTTCCAATAAGGAAAATTTTTAATTTAGAAGCTCTATTAAATGCTTCACTAATATTCAGATCAGTGATTCAGATGTGTTGCCTTTCCTCTACTTCCTTACTAATTGGATAAAACTATCTGACTAGTATTAATTTTTCCCCTTGCTGATCACTGAGAAAATTGCTAAAATGGAGGAGTTACTGGTGGGTTCTGCTTGGGGGGTGCAAATGAAGGTTGGTATGTAGATATTTTGAAGTATCTGCAGATCCTGACTTGAGGCCTGAACGTTGTTTCTGTTATCAGTGTTTTGATTTTTAATAGAGCAGCACTCGTGTATTAAGAGGATGTTGCTTGGATTATGCAGTCCTGTCCTGCCTCAGTTCACAGAACTCAATCCACACAGAAATTCCAGTTACACCATAGTGATCTGGTAATAGCACACGTGTCTGGAAAGCCGAAGGGATTTCAGCATCGCTTCCAAAATCACTTGGATGCAAATGCTGCAAGTGTCATGAGAGCGGCTCTGGCACATCATGTCCCACACAGTGTGAATTTTATGTAAATTCATCCTTGTGAGCTGCTCTGCTGGCTCACAGAGCTAGAAAGCATGGAGTAGCTAATGTGTGCCTAATGTCTAGAGGCACGCTGGGGTACATGCGTCCTGCTCTACACTGTGCATGAAAATTTTCATACCTAATGAGCTGTAAATCGCAGTGCTGGTTTGTGAAACAGAATTCCCAATGGTGCATATTGTACAGATCTCTCACAGGATTATAAAATATCTGCTTTACTTGGCAGATTTTAATCTTTGACTTGAAAGGACTGCTCAGTTGTATGGGATTACAGTGAATGTGATTAATGTTACAGATTGCATTGGAATAGGCCTGATTTCACTGTCAGGCAAAACACTAATGTAATGTTGCATCGCCGACTGGGAGATATGAGGTGCCAATTAATTGTCTCTTTTGTGTGTGTGTGTGTGTTTGTTTTCTTTCTTACATTAATAACTTCTATTGGCACAATTGTGCCTTCTAGTTACATTACAACTGAATGGATAACAGCATGAGTGTTAACAAATGGAAGGATCTATGAAGTTTGCAAATACATGGAAAGAAATGTTTAAGATCTTTGCAGCCAAACCTGTTGACTGCTTACGAGCAAATACACATTTTAATTGTCACACAAAACATCCACATATTTGAAGGGCCAAGCTGATGTTCAAGTCGCAAGACTAAAGTGCAAAGAAAAATGTGGTCTGTTCTGCTGTCGATAGTGCCTTTCTTGTTTTCTGTCCTCCTCTGTCCCAAGACTTTGCCCAAAGGATTGGAAGGCAGGGAAAATGAAGTAGCAGTCAAGTAGCTGTGCATATATCTTATCTCCTGAAATAAGAACGATGGAGTTGAGATCAAGCAGTTGGGTTGAGAAGTTTGCAGGATAAGCTCTTCTTTTATATTTCCTCCAGCCTTCTGCACTGCAGGGTTTCTGACCTTTACCCTGGGCCTCTGTGGAGGGCACTGAACTGGTGAAGAAGCTTTTTTTAGAAGCTCAGCCCCACTTTGAACCCTCATGTCTCTTATCTTGTGCTTGGCACAGTGCTGCGGGTGTTGAGTGAGCAGGGGTTTGTTTACATCCTCAAGTTGATGAGCTGGCAAGCACGTGGGGACCCAGGAGCATTTCCACATCCAGAACAACGTGCTGGTATCCTGGAGGTGCTGGGAAAGCAGGAGCTTGTCGTGTTACCTATGTCTCATTAAGCAGCAGGAGAAGGCTTGTTGTGTCAAAAGCAGCCTATGCTTTTGCCAGCCCTGGAAAAACTGCGGGAGAACAATTTTACATGAGGTTGTTACCTGTGTCGGTGCTCGCACAGGGAAGTGCACAGTGCCCTGGCACTGCACAAGGTCTGTCACAGGCCCTGATGGGAAAAATATACTAGGTTCTCTAGACCTGGTCAAAGAGGATTATAAAGAGCCTTGGGATAACATAGTAAGTCTTCAAATAGTGGAGCCTCTGAGAAGTATACTCACAAAACACAGTCTTTCCTATCAACCAGTTCAGCTGACTGGCTGGTATTCCTGTTTTGGGGCAAATTAGCAAACACCATCTCCAAGGAATGAGGAGATCCCAGCTACCAAAGTGCAGAATAAAACGTTTTGATTGATGAATGTTGGCAGTATCTTAGAACCACAGAAGAGAGGGTTCGCTTCCTCGCCCCTATAGATGTTGTGAGTTTTTAATACTTCCTTTGCCAGCAGTATGCCACCTGCCTGAAGACAGCTTCCGAGAAAGGATTTGGGATGATGGAAATAACTTCTGTTGTCTTTTAGAGCTGGCAAATGTTGACCACAAAGGAGACTTCTTCCTTAAAGGCAAAGTAGCAGTTACATTTTTATGTGCTTTTCTTTAAACTGCCATCCAGGAACATTTATACCTTTCCTCCAGTGTAATAGATCTTGAAAGGTATGGGATGATGCAGCTGTAGCTAATAAGGAACTTGTAACTATTTTTGAGCAATCAGGTGGAGCCAGGGATGCAGAAAATTATCAAGCTGCTGCACAAGCACTTCCAATGTTTCGTGAAATCAGGCTGATCGCAGCCTGGGAAATTCAATAGAATCTCTCAGCATCCTCTCTAAATATATTGCCCTTCTAGTAGGAAATTACTTCTCCTTCCTACCAAATTTTAGTGAAAAAAATAGCAGATTTGGTTGACTTCACTTGATGGGCAATCTGGTGGTTCTTTGATCTCTGCATGAATTTCACCACCCTGCAGGTCATATGGAGCAGCCATTCAAGATGTCCTGGGGAAGCACTTGCTAAGAAACTGCTTCATGCTTTGCTGCAGGTGAAAGGCTGAATGCCGGGGACACTTTTGGAGTCTCCTAGATGGGCTTCCTCATCTTTCTGTGATAAAGGATGATATTTGGAGGCAGCAGGTGGGATAATCACTGACAAACTCTGCCAAAAGACTGGCAGATGAAGTTGAGCTTCCAGATTAAGTGTGGTGGAGAAAGGGGATTACGTGCACACTGCAGAAGGCCTATCGGCATGTGTGACTGGAATACAAGAGAGCTTAAATCCATACTGCAGAAGAGCAGTGCAGGGATAAAGCTAGAACTGGATTCGGGTAGGTCTGTATGAGTTTGGACTAGATTTGTTTTGTGGAATGATGCCATGGGAATTCATCGTGTGAATAACAGTTTGTATGGGCAAGCAGGTGGTTGTGATGGCGAGGGTGTTTTCCATGCATTTCATACCGAGAAGGTGAGGGCTAAAATGTTCAAAAGATATGGAGGAGCCGAGGTCCCTTTCTTTCAGAACCTTCTTTCTCATTTCAAGGCCAGGTTGGACACAGGGGCTTGGAGCAACCTGCTCTAGTGGAAGGTGTCCCTGCCTGTGACAGGGGGTTGGAACTGGATGAGCTTTGAGGTCCCAAACCATTCTATGTCTTTGGAGAATGAATTTTGGAGGTATGTAGATATATAAATATGGAGGGAGGCATGTAATGGCATTTCCAGACTCTCCAGTGCCTCCAGCTCTTATAAGTTTTTAATTCAAGTTCGGTTTTAGATTACATAAAAGTTTATATAATTTATACACAAGTGTTCAGCTACACTGTTGGGAATGCATGTGATTAAGAATACATGAGATGCTTTTGTATTTTTCCTCAATACTTGTTCTTACATTTTACAGACCTCCACTGCAGCATAAAAACATTAAAATCGATCTGTTATTTACTTGCCTTGCACAAAAATTCACTCAGCTGCTTCTGCGTGCTTTGACAAGCAAATATCCCGCAGCTGACGTTCATCACAGGTTTCTTTAGTGAAGCCAGAGGAGAAAAACTACCCACGTTGATCATCCAACACAACATCCGAGCATCTTCCATTCAGTGTAGGAGCAGGGTGGGTTTGGCAGACTTCGCAAGTCATCCAGCTGTGGTACAGCTGTGGTACAGCTGGATGACTTGGCGAGATGCACTGAGACAGCACTTGTCCTGGGAGCAGAGTGGATTTGCATTCAATTGGAAACAGAGCAATTGATTAGAATATCCATCATTTTCCCTTTCAGGCTTCACCTCTCTTGTCTTCTGGGCTGTGGGTGCCGGGGCACTGGGGCTGTGGGACCTCTGTGAGGAGAGGTCATGGCTGGTGCTGGTGCCCCACCACAGGGCACTGGGCAGCCCCTCGTCCACGATGGCAGCACCTCAGGGGATGTGGATTTAACAAAGGGCAAAATGGTGCCTGCAGCAAGGAGTGAGGGGAAAAGTGTGAGGAGGGGCCCTGTGAGCCCTGAGGGGAAAGAAGGAGGAGCTGCTGACTGGGTGCAGCCATTGCCCTGTTAGCAGAAGGCATCCCAGTGTCACTGCTGTGGGAGTTAAGTGGTGAACACTTAAATAGACCCGACACCACAGGAAAAGGAGGCATTTTTATGTTTGTGCTGTTGGAGTGTTTGATAAAGCACTGCAGAGTGACCTCAAAGGGAAATTCTAATTAATCAGGTAAATTAGAGGTGAGATTTGGGGGGGTGTGGGGTGTATTGTGCTTTTAAACTCCAAAGCCCACAGAGGAAAGAATCTTTACTGCGTGCTGTAGCTGTTGGCACAGCTTCTGTTATGGTTACATCTGTGTTTGCTCTTCTCGATCTGGCTTTGCCAGTGTAGCTAGAAGAGTCATCTGGAGTCTCATCTTTCTTTGCATTACGCTTAGAATTGCTTAGTAAGGTCTTGAACCAAACGTTATTGAAGTTGATGGTAGCATTTCAGCAAACACCAGTGAGCTTTGGGTCTGCCTCTGTCCTAGTAAGTGACATCAGATCAATTTAAGGTGTCAGTGGTGAGTAAAAACACAAGCCAGTTCATTCCTTAATTTTAAGTATACAAAGCACTCCGGTTATTTTGCAAGTTTCATCAAACACGTAGTGTTCAGATGATTTTAAAGCAACATGGACAAGAAAATGGGAATCTGTCTTGTCCTTTTGTCTTCGCCTGGCGTGTTTCTTTTCCTTCTAACTTTTTATATCTAATCATATCATTAAATCTTCCTAATATATATCTGAAGATAAAAGGTGACAGCTGTAATGGAAAGACCTGATCACAAATTATTTCTTTTCTTGGCAGTGTCTGTGGTAAGTTTGTAATATGCTTAAGGAAACAGAGACCAACCTCACCAGCAAATTGAGGCTATTTCATTTTGGATGACTGTCCACTGAGGATCAGCCTCACTGCAGTTGACCTCAGAATATCATTGACGTTGGTCACAAACAATATACTCTTTAATATCCAGGATACAAAGTCCCTTTGACATCTGCCATCTCCATTCCACAGTCAAACTCTCACTGGTGCAATATCGGCTGTAATTGAACTTGCAAATTGCTTCTCGTTCTGAAATGCTGACTGCTTAATTATGATGGGGAAAATAGCATACTACAGCCGGGAGCTCAGATAACTTTGTAACTCAGAAGCTATGTAATTATACATGTGAATAATACTTGCTGTGATTTATGTTAATACCAGTGCAATATGCAGAAGGACCACTCTGCAGACCTTGCCTTACTTCAGTGTGGAAGGGAGCAAAGAAGCAGAATGAAGCACAAAATACAGAGAAGGGAGGAAGTGCTGGCCTGTGCCTTGCTTCCTTTTATCCCAGAAGTGTTCAAGGTAGAATCCTAGAATGGTTTGGGTTGAAAAGGACCTTAAAGCTCACCCAGTTCCAACCCCCTGCCATGGGCAGGGACACCTTCCACTAGAGCAGGTTGCTCCAAGCCCCTGTGTCCAACCTGGCCTTGAACACTGCCAGGGATGGGGCAGCCCCAGCTTCTCTGGGCACCCTGTGCCAGTGCCTCAGCACCCTCATTGAGAAGAAGTTCATTAAAACGGTCTTCAAGAGATGTGCAGTTCAACTCCCAGCTTAACCCACTGGTTTTCCAAGGGCTATTGGTCAGTCAATTTATCCTTAGCTTCAGGTCTTCATCTGAAAAACAGGGACTGCAAGGACCCTGTTTTTCAGGCATAGTCCGAGGATGAAACACAGAGATCTCTTTGAGATGTTTTAGTCCTATATCTCTATGAATCAACCTCAGTATCTGTATAAGAAAAGGGAAGCCTTTCTTTCTGACCACTCCGATTATGATGCCACATTTTTTTTGAGGAATTGTGTTTATGAAAGCTACTATGTTTCATTTTAGCCTGGAGCAGCAATGACAAAGCAACTTTAAAACTTTCTGGCTGAAAGGGAGACGTGTAAGACAACACAGTTATTGAAGATGACTCTGAGCTGTCTCAAACATCAAAAGCTGGAAATCACTGTAACGTAGCATAGCTTTGCTGGTTCCCTGTGTAGCAGCTGTTCCGTTTGGATCTTACCCATCTTTTCCTGCATGATGTTGCTAGTGTGATCTTGAGTGTACACCACAGACCATATCTGTATCCCAGTGAACTTGGCGCGGAGTGTTTCTCTTAGGTAGAATTTAGCTCAAGGTAACTCTGTGATAGCACCTGATACTGTTCACGTTCAGAATGTCTCTCTAGTAGATTCACACAGCAGATAGGTTGTTCAGAAGTCTTTACTTTGATGGAAAACCTCAGTGGTGGGTTTCTTCCTCATTTTCTCCATCTTACATTTTTTCTTGTGCAAAGGAAGTTATGTAGGCCTCTGTGTGTGGATGATTAATTACTCTGTAAGAAAGCAGCTGTGGAGCCTGACAAGATTACACTTAGATTATAGTCTTAAAATAGTGGATGGACTTGATGGTTTTCATTTCAACCATCTTATAATTGTTGTCTTGAGAATGAATTGCATTGCTCTGTATTGTCACTGCATTCCTTGGGGTATGAATAGGTTCATTTAGTCCCACCATCTTGGGTTGTTAGGAAAATGAGACATCTGAACTCAAGACTGTTACATCTTTTGCTGTCTGACCAAGAGCCAAATCCTAGGGTCCAGGCACAGATCTTAAGTGCTTTACATGCTGTATTTGCATCCTGAGGTTACAAGCTTTACAAAAATGCCTATTACTTTTTCATAAGCTAGAAAAATATCTGTAATTTTATACATTTTTTTAGAACAAAAAGGGATTGACCCTAAAAGGAGATAGTAGCAGAGTTAGGAGTGGATCTGTTGTCTCCCATTATTCAATGCCAAAGTCAGTCCACATTTTATAGAGATACTATGCTGAATGTTTTGGGCTGGGGACAAGAGGTAAGAAATTCTCACTGTTGAGAGTCAGGTGCTTCAGGATTCTTCAGAGATTGGGAAGATCTGTTTTACTATAGGCAGTAACTGAGTTAATTAAACCTATGTGGTTGAGTAAACCTACAGATGGAATCTAGACAAAAATACCAGACAAAAATGCCTCAGACTCATTCAGTTAAGCATTACTCTTCAAATATGGGCTACTGGATTATTTCTGGTTTTAGTCTAAATGTACCAATTGACTCCCTAAAATCAACTTTGTGCAGAAGGCTTGACAGAGAAATTCATCCTGGTGTGATAAGCACAGCTCCACTGAGATGAATGGCGATATTGAAGCTGAGGATAGGACTCAGCTTTCTAATTTGCCAGCAGCATATGAAATGATTATTTACATTGGCACTCCAGAATTGAAAGGCAAGTATAAAAATTACAAAGCAAAGCTTAGTTCCCACTTGAAAGGTGGTTCATTAGTTTGCTTTGCTTGCATTCATATACCGTTGAATCACATTCAAGGGAGGTCAAAGTTACCTGTTCCTTTGTGCAGTGCTCTGTTTGCTGGTTTCTGGGTTTCCTCTGGAAGGCAAGCTTTCTTTTTCCCTAGAAGACTCCTTTCCTTGATAGGCTTTGATTTATTTTCTGTGTTCTTGTAGCCCTCTGTAAGTCTGATTCCCCAGTGCTCTTGATTGTGTTTAGACACTGATTATGAAACTATTTATCTTTGGTACAAGTAAAGGGATGTGTGTTACCTGCAACTGACAGGACTGAAAATGAGGTAAGAGTAACAAAAGAATATATGAATAACTAGATGAAGGCCAGTCTGATGATTATATGATCTTTCACATGCACCCTTGTGGAAGTCTGTGTTGAGTGTAACATCTGTAAGTCACAAAATCCATACTTGAGATTAATTGGTGCTTTCCCTGGATCTGTGTTTCTCTCAGGACAGATATCAGTGGATGGATTTATGCGATATCTGAGTGGAGAAGAAAACGGCGTTGTTCCACCTGAGAAACTGGATTTAAATGAAGATATGTCTCAACCACTGTCACACTATTTCATCAATTCCTCACACAACACCTACCTCACAGGTACAGTGTTAGATCTGATTTCTTATCTTAACAAAAAAAATCAGAGCATATTTGCAGTGATACTGTAAAATATACTAAAAACATCAGCCGTAAACAATGATGGAGCTTAGTCTTCAAGGGAGCAAGGATAGCACGATTGTTGTTCTAACTGCTACACTTATACATTAAATACACTTCTATTACTCTTTTTATATAGGTGGGTAGCAGTTGTCTTGTTGTAAAGGTCTGGTCTGAAACCCAGTGAAGTCCCTGGAAAGTTTCCCTCAACATAGATAGGATTCTAGATTATGGTCCTTTTTTGGGAGGAGAGGGAGCAATGTACTTTTTATGACAACTAAGGATAGCCAAACAACTATGTGAAGCAGAATATGGAAAACATCTCTGTAGCTAATAACTTTGCCCCTAAACATTAAATCTGACAGTTTGTTGAGCAACTTGAAATCTGCTTTAATTCAGAGATTGAGAGGTCCCAACATGGCACACAGCTTTCTAACAGTCCATTTGTATCTGCAAGGAATGGAAATCTAGTCTCTGACTACATCCCAGGACTGAGCTGAAATCTGTAGGTGTTGTCATGTGTTTAAAAAGGCTGAGCACCCAGAAGCTCCCGTTAATTTGAATTAATGAGTTTGAATTGCATTGTTTGCACAGCAAAGTCAACAATGCTGTAAGATTCTGAAAACCTAAGACAGTTGAAGACTCCAACTTTAGGCACTCATTTTCTAGGCTTAAGATGCTGTCAACTTGTAAGAAAATAATTGTAAATTTACTATTTTAGTCAATATAGGAATAGACGTTTTTTAGAAGCAGATATGCACAGGGAGTTCTCTCCTGTTTGATTTGATGTTTGCTTTGTCTTGCCATGTTTGCTAATGACTTAGCTTTATGATAAAAAAGAAGTAATGCTACAGTATGTGCTAAAACCATGGCTCATGGATAACGTGAGCTTTTAATGTTATTAACAGACTTGCCTTAACTGACCCAAGTTCTTATGCCAGTATGCCAAAACCTAAACAAAACCAAGCAGTGGTGATGCCCAACTTCAACAGACCAATTGGTAGTTACTTTCATCTGATTTGTGTTTGTTACAGCACTTTCTACAGCACCTTCTAGTGCTTTCATGAGTGAATGAGCTGTCATTGTTTCCATTAGACACCATTTTTCAGAGGTTTATATCTTGGCTGTGAAATACGTTTTGTGCTAAAAACTTGTCATATAAGTTTTTGGCTTGACAGCTGTTTTGTTCCTTTGAATTAAAAGGAGTGAAAATCAGTGTGGCCACTTTTAAGTTATGATTCCAATATACAGAAATTTATCCTCGCTGGAAGAGTGCAGACATGTCCAAAGGAAAAGCAATTTTTAATTATGATACTTTGCAGGCCTCTTGCCTCCAGGATGGACTTTGTTCTGTCAGGAAGGATTAGGACCCACTTAAGCCAAATGCTGAAGCTTTTCTGGAAGAAAGCAGTAAAGCTGTTGAACTAATGTGGGAAGTATAGGCCCACAGGGAGGACAGACGATGCAGTTTGAAGTTGGTTTGAAGAGGTAGAATGCTGCTCTCCCCTCTACCAGCATGAATTTATGGCCAGTACCATACCACTGATTTTGGTCAGGTCTGATCAGAACAGAGACATGTTCTAAAAGTCTGGAAGCACAGAAGCCAAAGAACAAAGAATTAAGGATGGGAATTTACAATTAATCCAACCTAATCTAAATGTTTTAACTGCACCACAAGTGACATATTTAATTATTGCAGAAGAAAGTTTACCTTGAAACTCTCCAAATTCGCTTGCACTTGTATGTGAAACTCTGCAAATCATCTCAAATTGCATCTGCAATTTTCCTTGCCTGCATTTCTATCTAATTTCAGAATCTATGTTTGGAAGTATGATTTTCAGTCTTAACATAATATCCCCGGCTTAGTCAGTTGGGGGGAGTAAATCAGAGTATACTCAGGGAATAGTGCAAAATAAGTTTGAATCTCTTTCAAATTCCATTTCAGAGCGTGTATTTTCACGTTTACAGGCACAAAACACATCTCCTTCTCTTTTAATGGTTCATTATAGTCAGTTACTGTGTGGCAGCTGGCTGACAGTGGGATTAATGATTTGAGTTTGATCTGCGTATTACAAAAACTGACACCCCTGGCTTTAGCTTTGAGGCTAGACCAGACACAGCAGTCACATTGCCATTTGCTTTCTTCCAGCAAGGACTTAGTAAAATGAATAAAATTAATAGTGGCAGACTGTTCTTTTTCCCAGGATGATTTCAAAAGGGCTACTCAAGTGCCCATGGCTTTGGAAGAGAAGCTCTGGTAGCATCTCTGCCCTCTCTGGACATGCGAAATAGCATGTAGGCATGTAATAATTACTAGGACAATAAGAAATCCATTCAATCTAGCAATACTTCATGATTACTGTGCTTAATGCCTTTCCAATTATCTCTCCCTTTGTTAGTATTTAAACCCAGAAAAAGCATGCACCAAGAAACGTTATAGCATAAAAAGAAACATGTGCACACTCTGAATTTATTTTTAATTATGCTGATCACTTTCCTAGCCTTTGGTAGAAACCCTTGGCAGTACATCAAGTCCTGATTATTTATTTAGAAGTGTTACTGCTTTCTTTTTCTTAGGGAAATGTAATTTTTAAGAACGAAGGTAAAACTCCATGAAGGAAGAAGTGATTTATAGTGGATCAAGGCTAGCTTAAAGAAATGTCCTCTTTTGGAAACTTTTTTGTGCTGTTTCTCATCTTTGCTCTCTCTGCTGTCATATTGATTTACTGCTTTGAACCCTTAAAGTGCAACCCTGCATTATTTCCGGTTTGTCACCAGTCTCACCTCAGGTTACTGCTGTTGTCACAGTGGGGAGTGACTTTGCTGCTTTTCTCTCAGCAGCACCCAAAGTCAAAGACAAATGATAATGTAGCGTTATCATTGCACACTTTGGTGGATATGAACATTTATGGACATGATGGTGTATGTGAAATACAAAGTATGAAAATCACAGGCCTTTAACATGTGTTGTCTTTGGCTAAAAGGAAAAACTACAGTAACAGTAGGTTGCAGAGCTGTCAGTTTAGCGCACATAGGCAACGTGGGGCTGCCCCATTCACCTTCAGCATCTGCTTCCCTCCTTACAGTCCAGTGCTTTCAGTTGTTTCTAGAAAAATGTCTCATGAGGGGCATGTTCTCTTCTTTATTGCTGCTGTGGCCTCTCCTTTACTATTGTCCAGCTTTTCTGGTCTCAGCAATTCCTCAGTCATAACTGTTGCTGCTCATTATCTCCACTCAGTTCTTCCTTGAAATCTTCTTCACCTTCAAAGCCTCCACAACAGTATGTTCACAGCTTCATAGAATCATAGAAAGGTTTACATTGGCAGGGACCTTAAAAATCATCTTGGCCCTTGCCACGGGCAGGGGCACCTTCCACTAGAGCAGGTTGCTCCAAGCCCCTGTGTCCAACCCGGCCTTGAAAACTGCCAGGGATGTTCTCTGGGCCCCCTGTGCCAGCGCCTCAGCACCCTCACAGGGAAAAATTTTTTCCTAATATCTAATCTAAATCTCCCTCTGTCAGGTTAAAGCCGTTCCCCCTTGTCCTGTCACTACAGGCCCTTGTAAAAAGCCCCTCTCCGGCTTTCTTGTCAGCCCCTTTAGGCATTGGAAGGCTGCGAGAAGGTCTCCCTGGAGCCTCTCGGATATGGTTGGCTTTCTGGGCTGCAGGTGCACACTGCTGGGTCATGTTGAGCTTGTCATGTTTTCACATGGCTGCTCTAATTTTGACAGCTGAGTGCTCATGCTGATACTGTTAAACGCTAGTTTTTTTTGTTGTCTTAAGGGGTACCTGCCCTCCCTTCCTAGCTCCACCCATGCCAATTCCTTTTTTCTTAAGTCATACTCTAGGTGAGGGAATTTTTACTTTTAAATGTGACTGGGAACCTTGTAAAAGAGAGAGGAAAAAAAAAATCATCTAGCTTGTATCCTTACTGCAAAATTGATTATTCAAATACAGATCAGCAACTGACACCAAAATTTCCAGAGGCAGCTTGCCCCCAGTAGCAGCAGAGGTGAACATAAAGAGTTTAAAAGAATACACTGTTTGGTCTGATCTAACTGGACCCTCGGGAAGGAGAGGAAAAGTCAAGATCATGAAACTTCTGTTTCCTTTAAGTAGTATTTCATTCACTACTACTTAGAGAGCTTTCCGGATCCCCTCTAGTTTACCTGTTTAGGCCAACAAGGTGAAGGTATTGAGGTGAGGCATGTGTTATATGAAGCATATTGAAATGAGAGATATATTATCTTCTAAACCTTCTTTAAGGAGGATAAAACTGTGTTGAGGGTGAGGTAACCTTTCTGATGCCAATAGCAGCATCTTCAAATAGCTGCAATTGTAAGACAAAGATGCAGAGATCTGGCAGCAAGGGAAGGGCTCTGTAAGTAGGTCCCTGTGGGTCACACTCCCTCACTGCAGTTGTAGAGACTCAGCTGGTTATGCAGTGTCTTTCTCAAGTGGAGCCCACAGCTAGGGTGAGGGTTACCCCATGCCGGATAGTGTCCGTCCCACAGCCTGGCTGCAGCGTGGGACCTGCCCCGGCTCTGCTAGGGGCTGAGCAGGATTGCAAACCCAGAGGCTGGCCAGCCCCAGCCTTCCTGGCATACGCAGGTGTT